TTTAGATAACGATATTGCTTTCTAATATCATGATAAAGGAATATATATTCTTCAATTAGGTGATCGTATGCAAGAGATTTTTCCACACACAAAACCGCGAATTCGGCCTGGAATTCGGGGTCCGGTTCATCCGTTGGTACTTTGGTACTGTCAACACCAGAACTGCAAAATTTCGTCATATTTACACCCACTAAAAAAGAAGTACCTAATTAAAATGTCTTCATATTGGTCAAGGTAAACGCCCCGTCTTCACTAGCTGATTCAAACTGTACACGTGGTTGACGTTTGCCACGAACCTACAAAACTGATCTGAAGTAAATACCGGTATATGATACTCTCTGATATTACTGTAGTAAGTCGATATAGAAAATGGCGATACACTGGATGTTTAAGGATTCTAGAGGAATGTGAAATGTCGCTTGTCATGGCATCAAATATATGCCATGTTATGCTCTAGTAAAATTGTGTCCAACAATTTTAAAGTTCTGTTCACCGAAAATTATAATTGTGTCCTGAAATCTAAAAGTTTTTCCCTACAAAGTTTACTCATATGAAAATATATTTGTGTTCTGAAATATTAGGCTTTGTTCATCCATTTAAAAGTTGTGCGCATCAATCTTGTAGTATTGTCTACAAAAAATCTAGTTTCGTCTTGAAGTAATAAGTTTTGTCCCACGAATTCAACGTGTAGCCCTAACAATTAGATGCGTACATGTGGACCACCGTAAATCTTGGCCCTACGTTCTAAAGATTGGATGAGGGGTTTCTGAAAACAAAAAAATGGAGAACGAAGAATATATACTATGATTTAGATGGAATATATTATTGTCAGGGTACAGCATGACGTACTACGTAAAACAAGCAATGTAATATTCGTTTTGAGATATAAATGTTCTTGGCGGGGTTCTTAAGCACTTTCATTTAAAACGAGAGTCTCGAAAATCACGAGCCGAATGCCTAGATCACAGTCCCTCTATCGATAGAGGGACTATACCTAGATTCTGGTTTAATATATTCTATTGTTGGTGTTTAAAATTGAATCACACGCAAACATCTCTGTTTAGGAACAAAACTTCTGTTTTTTGTATGAATAGGCGGTGGTCGTCGCACCGCGTCCTGTTCGATATGGGACTCATAGCGACGTAGACAACGCGTGTAAAATACAAAATGTTTACATGAAAATTGAAATTCGAACACTCGCTAAAGACCACCACCCTGTGAAAAAAACAAGATGACTTATACAAGTATTTTTTTTGTTTAAAAGCAACCAAATAGTAATTATTTTATTCAGTCTGTTATTTCGCCATTTCATTATTTCACATTCCTGGATTTACAAACGGATAACAAATATTTATCCCATGATGCTTTGCTATTAAAGCTGTATTCGAATTCGAGTATTCAAAAAAATCAACTTGAACTAATATATATATTGATAAATTTGTACATACAATCAACTATAAACTTTCTAGAGAATGCATCTGACGTAAACACGGTTACTTTTTTTGTAACCAAGCTAAAAATCGCCTCGACGGAAAAGGTTCTGAAGGTCGTAAACTTTGACCTTAGGTCAATTATTTTTTCTTTTATTTGCGGAAGTGCAGTTCTGTGGTCGCCAACCGAAGAAGGAATAATCGTTCTAGTACACACCCACAGTGAACATGGCTTGATAATTCTGGTTCATACTTCAGCATAAGGCAGTGTTGACTTTTGAAATATGATAAAGTGGCAGGGATATGTCTGTGCTGTCTTCGTATTTAGCGTCGTGGTTTACATGATTGCGAGTTACTTTTTTGAAGGTTAGTCATGTTGATTTTTATCCAACCGAATATGCGCTTGACAGAAAACGGACAGTGCCGACCAATGATCGAGATGATCCCGAAAATACAGGATATTATAATAATGGACATGTGTAACGATTGAATTTAGAAGTCAATCTGGATTCATTGTGATGTTCCATCCTATTTGTTCCTATAACTTAATATTGACCACAACCTTCCATTTCTGGAGGTATGGGTAAAAAAAAACATACAGAAAATTACACAGCAACAAAGTATAATCTAAGATTGTACATTTGATAAAGGTATGACCCAACCGAGTGAGCAATATCAGATGGAGGATCCATGATAAAGTAGGATTTATGAGTGTTGTTGAATATACTAAATGTGGGATAAATGGAGGCAATTGTGTTGAAGAATTTATCCCTTGTCGGATTGAGTTTGGTACACTCTGTGACGAAATGGTATTCAGATTCCACCATATGGTTTGTACAAAATTGACATGTACGAAAACATACAGGGAGGATAGACGGATTATGCCTCATTTTTTCAATGTTCAGGTTATGAGGACTAATGCGTAGTTTAGTAAGAATTGCCCTGTGGGATGGGTTTTCAATAGCATTAAGATATTCACTAGGTTTACAGTTGTAATTACAAATATTTCTATAAATTTTTAGTTTTAGTTTTCCAAATGGGAACTGCAGAGCTGCAAGTACTGGTCTTTCAGTCTATATTTATATATTCGCTACTATTACGACAAGGGTACCATTGGTAGCTCAGTGCATATGCACTCGGTATGTTTCTGGTTTCTGGGATAACAAAAGAACGAGTGGGTATACCCAGTCGCCGGTATATTTGCCGACCCATACCGACCTTTTTCTCGTTCGTTATTATTTTGACCTTGAACAGTTAATTTATGCATAGACTCTAGGTTCTTCCACAGTCCCTCTATGATAGAGAGACTGTGGTTCTTCCATGGCGGTGTGTAAGGCAGTGTTATAGGATCACAATTGTAATTGAATAAGATAGGAGTGCAATGTTTTAGGATTATACAAACTATGAGCTCCGTAATACACTTTCAAAGTTTTGTTAAAGAATAGAACTTGCAACATGCGCAAGCAAGACCACATTGAAGATGAATTTCATTTTCTAATGGAATGTCATCAATATAAAACTCAACTGTTCACATTGGCTAAAAATGCGATCCAACATTTTGACAGTAAACCAATGAACGAACAGTTCATCTTATTACTCAAGTGTCACAGTTCATTAAAAAGAGCTTCCTCGCTTGTTGTCAAGTCCTGAAATAAGCAAATTCGTTGATTTCCTTAACTTTTTGTGAGTACTTATGGTAGTCTTTTGATTTTGGGTGCTCATTATTTTTACTTTATTGCTTTCAATAGACTCTGTAACCATTACCGTTCCTCTGTGGAATGTGTATGTGTTTCTGAATAAATATACATTTTTGGGGAGAAATTAGGATTATGTGATTATGAGAAAATGTCCACCATTTCCAGATTTCCCTTTTTTTTAGCAAAATCCTACACAAATGCTATATTTGCTTATTTGTTATTTTCGCAGATGATGTTATTACCAAGAGATCAGCAGACATGATCATGAAATCACCAGATGACCAAGTTCATCAGTTTGGGATTGTTGATTACATCATTTTCAGTGTAATGCTGGGTATATCGGCAGGGACAGGGTTGTATCATGCTTTCAGTGGAGGGGGACAGAAAACGACATCAAAGTAAGATATACTGTATTTGCTCAATTCTTGGGAGTGAATATTCTGACAACCATCATAGTCAAAAATTCTCAAAAAACTGTACTTTGTATGCAAGGGATTTATCCAAACAAAACACAAGAATTCGGCCGAATTTTGTTTGCGGTTGGCCTAATGTACATGTAATGTACTTTTTAAACATTATTTATTTGTAAATTATGCATACAGGTACATTGTTTTGAGATGCAAATATGTCTTCTGTGCATGAATTATTCAAATTGAACGACAGTGACGGCTTTTTTTCACTGTATTTTAACTTTGTTTCATTGTGATTGCATATTTCTACCCCTTGAAATAAAATTAATTTTAAGTTTTTAGTTATTATTATACTTCAGACATCAAAAACAATAGAATTTACCTACCCCGTAAAACATCGTATGAGCATGTTTGAAAGTGTTAAAAACATGTTTGAATGTCTTCCTTAATTGAAAATTGTGCATCACATTTTTGTCATAATTGAACACTTTCCTTACATCAGATACAGGAGTACTATCATTGCATGATAATAAGGTTATCACGAGAATGCAGCAAAGTATGCACTCAGGCAGTACAGTGATGCATCAACCTTCACTATATGTTAGTCGATACGATCACCATATTGCATACTGCATAACTAATAATATAATTTCTTTTTTTTTGACGTAGATTTTTAATGGCTGATAGAAGTATGTACAGTATTCCAGTTGCTATCTCTGTACTGGCATCCTTTGTATCGGCCATTAGCATTCTGGGTATTCCAGCCGAGATATTTATCCATGGAGCACAGTACTGGATTATTGTACTCAGTTTCTTATTTACAATTCCCATAACTGCAATGGTTTTTATACCAGTTTTCCATGGACTAGGAATTATCAGTGCCTATGAAGTAAGTTTTTTTCCCATCCGGGTCATGCACACTTGGGTTGCATGATATTGTAATGGTTTTGGCTCACATATACTATTGCAGATGTGCTTTTACTAGAGCAAATACCTCCTGATATGATGGTTAACTGATCATTCCAATTTAAATATAAAGTAAGGTAAATCATCATCATCATCATCATCGTCATCAACCATTCATGTCACTACAGGCCTGTGGCCTTCCCATTGTTTTCCAACATAATCTATCTCCTGTTCTCCTCACCAATTGACTCCTCCTATGAGTGATTGTCCATCATCATCATCCATTGTCGTCTTCCACATCAAATTTTAACTTTTTTACTTTTTCTTGAAACTGCAAGCCTGATTGCTTTGATACTTGGTGTATATGTACTTTGGGTAGACCTCTCTCAAATTTGTTCATATCTTGATGATATCTTTAATCCTCAAATTTTGATGAATATTTTTATCATTTTTTGTAAAAAGTGATATTTTTGACTTCTTGTCCAGTCTGATATTTTACATAAAAGAAGTACAGGTGGACCTCTCTCAGATTTGTACATTATGTGATGACATTTTCAATTCTCTAATTGAAATGTGCATTGCTAACAGCAGAGCTACCGTATCTCAGCCAAGAGTCTACTTGTTTTCTATTTCGTCTCTCAGTTCTTTTTCGGTCTTCCTCTTCCATGATGTCCATTCCAGGCACTGTTTTGCCCATTGGTTATCTGCCATTGTTCCAATGTGACCTGCCCAATCCCATTTCAATGATTTCGGCTTGTCTAATGATGTCTACAATTTTGGTCTGATCCCTTAACCATTTGTTTCTCTTCCTATTCCTTTGCATTATATTCAGCATTGCTTTTGAAAATGTCGAACTCAAATAACTTTTTTTTTTTTAAACCTTAGTACCTTCAAAAAAGATTTAGTGTGAGTGTGCGTATCTGTGGTTCCTTCCTGTTCTTAACACAGACTGCCTTTTATATGGCCATAGTTTTATATGCTCCAGCATTGGCCCTGGAGGCTGGTAAGTAGTCATTTAGTCTTTTATATGGTCATAGTTTTATTACCTTACTCATAATAGATGGAATGACTGAAAGAAAATGTCTGTATTTCTCACCAGCTCAAAATTTTACTTTGGTTACAATAACAGTTTTTATAAAAAAATTTAAAACTTGGATAAATTATTAACCAGTTTTGGGTCTTTGCCAAGGTTGATATCGGCATGTTGCGGATGAAAGTTTTCAAAGATTCATGAAAATGTAACCTAAACTTGTCTTCTTCTTGAATACTCTTACTAACTAAAATGTATGTGACTTTTAAAAAAATTAGATTACAATTCCCTCAATTTCTCAAACTGCTGAACTGTGCTGCAGCTATAGTCGCTATTAACAAACGAGAATTTTTTTTTTTTTCAGTGACAAAATTTGAAACCTGGAAGACAGTTTTAATTACTGGTTCAATATGTACGCTTTATACATCTTTGGTAAGTGGAAACCGTGGAAACCGTGACATTAATTCATACGTGGATGGTATGGAACCATTGACAAAAAGAAGATGATTCTCCATAAATAGTCAATTGCACAGGTCTACTATTCAACAGGATCTGTGAAGTTATTTGGTTAAGTTTAAACTTATTTTACATCATATAAACGTCATATAAAGTCCACAAAGAAAAGATTGGAAAGATGCTATATGGGATCTCAAATTCATTGCTATGTCAGATGCCTAAAAAAATTTGTAGTTATTATTTGTACAAAATCCAGTGGGTGCCACGTTAAGGTTGAAATAATTTGAAACAGTGAATCTGTATATTCTTGGGGCGGTGCTACATTACAGTGCATTCTATGCTGCTTGGACGCACCCCATGGTACCATGTAATTCTATGGGATCTACCAGCTGCTGTAGAACACAGCTAAAATTGAGAAAACATCACAAACTCAACTTTGAGGCAACCTTGAACAAGTAAATTTCTATTTGTTGCACATGTAGAAATACAATGTTCAGGGGAGTCTCAACATTTAGTCCAAAGCACAGATCACAGTCTTTGTTTTCATTGGTTGCCACACCCGGAAATAGTGGAAATTTACTATATTTCAGTTATTCAAAATTCACTGTGTTATTAAACCACTTGTTATTATATTTTATTTCTTGTAGGGTGGCATAAAGGCTGTTATTTGGACTGATGTCTTCCAGTTCTGTGTGTTGTTTGGAGCATTGTTGACTGTTATTATTATGGGTACTATACACACTGGCGGTATGTCTTATATTTGGCATTATAATTCAAATCATGGACATTTGAATTTCTTCGAGTAAGTATCAAATTTTGCATTTGTCTTCGCTTACCATTCGATGTTTGTTAAAACGCGGTGGTCGTCGCACAGCGCGTGTTCGAATTTTATGTAAATAAACAATGTATTTTACACGCATTGTATACGTCGCTATGAGTCCCATATCGAACAGAACGTGACGGGACGACCACCGCCCTTTAACATTGATTGCTGTTTAATATTTGTAAGCATCTATTATTGAAAAATTTTATTTTTATATTTTTAGCTTTACAGTGGATCCCACTGCAAGGCTGTCTTTTTGGTCCTTGGTTATTGGTGGTACATTCAATAACTTATCAATATGGGCCGTTAGTCAAACTGCTGTACAGAGATTTCTAACTTCTAAATCAAAACAAGAGGCTGTTAAGTAAGTAATCTAATGAATATACCAGATTCACCAATAAAAGTTATGCATCTAGCTATCCAACAATAAAAGTTATGTATCAATCTATCCACCATTAAAAGTTATGCACCAATCTATTCAGGCTAGACTTTTTTATTCCTTGTTTCTCGAGTTTTATAAGTTAATTTTCCATTAGATTTGTGTGATTCTCAAAGAATTGTAAGTGAGATTATTGACCGAAGAGAAGAAATGAAATAAAATGTTATTCCATGTATAACATGGTTGGCAATGTCGCCAATGGTGGCACAATTTTTAGCATTAATGAGGGATTTTTCGGTTTTTGACGACAGAGTTTCACGGCGTGTCACCACACCGCCACCATGTTCGCCTGGTAGTCTCAAGCAGCACGCAGAGAGGTCAATATCGAGATTCACTGCCAACCAACGCGCATAAAGTATAGATCTGCACGAGACTTCGGTACTTTGATCAAGATACTCTCATGAAAATGCAACTCAGATTTGTTAGGCAGCGGGCGGAAAAAAAATGAAGATAAAAATAATTTTTTTTAGCAATTTATTGCACTCACAATTCTGAGGGTGCGAGAAGTTACGCAGAAATAAAATGTCATTTTTATTTCATTTTCGGCTCTTGTTCATTTGGCGGGTTCGCGAAACAAGGGATAATAAAAGTCTGGTCTCACCAAAAAAAGTTATGCACCAATCTATCCACCGTTAAAAGTCACGCTTCATTCTATCCACCAATAAAAGTTATGGATCAATATATCCACCAATAAAAGTTATGGATCAATCTATCCACCAATAAAAATTATGCATCAGTCTATCCACCAATAAAAGTTATGGATCTATCTATCCACCAATACAAGTTGCACTTCATTCTATCCACCAATAAAAGTTATGGATCAGTCTACCCACCAATAAAAGTTATGGATCTATCTATCCACCAATACAAGTTGCACTTCATTCTATCCACCATTAAAAGTTATGGATCACTATCCACCATACAAATTATGCATCATGCTATCCACCAATAAACATTATGCATCAATCCATCCACCAATAAATGTAATCTAAATATTAAAATTCAGCAACTCTTAATAAACCTTTCTAAATTTCTTTTATTAATTTTTTGATAATATTTCATGATTTTAAAGTACTTTTTTCACTTGCAGATCAGTTTGGATCAATCTTCCTGGTAATATTATTATGTTCACTTTTGTATCATTCATTGGAATAATATTATTTGCATTTTATAATAGTAAGTATGTTCATTTATCTGGTCGTTATGGTTACCATTATTATGAATCAGATAATCTATGTTTTGTCTACATGTCTGAATTTGCATTTAATACATACCGGTATATACAGTTTTAGTGTTAGTGTTAGTGACTGCCTCACCATAGCAACAACTTTTGGACAGTTGCAATTTATTTTTATCCAATTCAACTTCAAAGAGATCAGTATAGACTGGGTAAATGTCACCTGTTTAATGTAACCAGAGACCTCCCTTTTTGGCACTGATTTAGTCAAATGATGAAAAATGTTTTATGTGCATTCTTTTTAAAACAAGCATATTTATTTAAATTTTTTATCTAACTTCAAATTTATCTAGTGGCAAAATGTCTTTTAAACTTTAATGTTCTTGGCAAATATGGGTAAGTTACAATAGAGGTGCAAATATGAAATAATGTCATTTTTAGTTTCTGTTCAGACCAAGTCATTAAAATCAAACACACGCTAAGGTGGCCATTTTGTTTTATTTTATTGAATGTTGTTCCAGAGACATATCGCCAACATGCTATGGCTGATCAACTTCAGACTTCAGACATGCTTTTGTTGTATATTTCCATTCATTATGTCAAAATAAGTCCCAAAAAATCAAGCATTTGTGCCACTTCAGAACTGGATCTCAGTCATGCATAGACAATTTTTTTGCTGTTGTGGTGCATACATTGTACATAATCGTGCCTTGGTGTTCGTCATTTTGTTTTTTGATCGAATTGAAAATGGCCAACCGATGGCCATTTTGTTTTAATGAATGCTGTTCCAGAGGTATGTGTTTGTCATGGGACATATTTAACATGTTTAACAATTTAAATGTACAAATATGAACATAAAAAGGTGATAAAATTGCTCCCATGTTGGCACACCCAAGACATAAAAACATGGTTTTTATAAATAATAACAAATCTCAAAAACATAATATTCCTAGGACGAATATCTGGGCATTTTCACCTCCTGACAATCATCAACAGTGAAAAGAATGGTCAAAAACTCTCAGAAAACGGGCTAGTTGTTGACTCTCCCGAACAGTGTAACAAGACCACCTCTTCATGATTGCCTCAATTTTGAGTTTGGGCTGTTTTCTTAACTCTAGCTGTTTTCACTGGCTCGTCGACCGCTGTTCTACAGAACATCCTGTGATGTAGTTCTGCCTCCAAGAATACCCCATAAATTAATAAAACTACTAAATCTCAGATACTCTGATTAGAAAATTGTAAGTCAATTGTCATTCAGTTCAGTTGATTTTTCAAATTAAAATAATAATTATTTTCTTTTGAATAATAGATGACATGACCAGTCTACTTCCTGCTATAAATAGTACCATAAGTAAGTTAGTTGCCATGGTTATCTTCATCAGTCTGTTGGCCAATCTGTTTCATAGTTCTTTGTTTATGCACTGTTTTCCTGTCCATATGTTTAGTGTGAATTTTGTTATGTATCAGTTACAATTTTTCAGCAGTCGTTGTCATAGTTTTTTGACTATGTTTATTTTTCTGTGCATTGTGACTTCGTGACTTACACCCTTTCATATCAGTTGTTAGATATACACCCTCTCAAATGCAACAACATTTTTTAATTTAATTAAATTAAAATTTTTTGTTTAAATGCTGTACATCCAGATCAAGTTTTAAGTAGCAACAGAAGAAAAAAAGTTATTAATTGATCTACGATTCAGACATTCTTTAAAAGTTACTAAGCATACTACTATACCAACCTATATATCATCTGAAAGCTTAGATATAGACGAATATGGTAGTGTGTATGATACCAATGTTTTTCTGGGGGATTATTTTATGTCCAGTTTGGCTATTGTGGTTTTTTGATGATGCAATGGTTGTTATAGTAACACATGCTTATTTGATCTGGCATTGCTAACATATTTAATTATTTTTTTTTTTTTTTTGCAGATGGTAGTATTGAAGTGAGTGACACAATGGTTCCTCACTATACTCCTCAGTACAACTCCATAGACCAGGTCAGTGAATCATACTTTTAGATACGTGTAATATATCAAGTGTCCATTCATTATTCAGAAAATGACCTCCCTTTTTCTATTCTCACCCCTCCCCTGAATGAAAAATTATTTGTTTCTGATCACTGAACCATTCAACACAAGGACCACTGAAGAACAAATCTTTATTTTATTATTTTTGTAAAAGCTTGGACTGTAATTGTGTCCTCGTTTAAAAAAAAATGAGGACATATTCTGTATAAAAGTTACTTGGCTTGCTACTATGACAAAGTTTTCATTGTCAAAAAAGCACAATAGCAAAACTTTCCATCAGATAATACCTTAGAGAAACTTTAAAATTTTTGAAAATACATTTGAAAGAAATTTTGTAGGTTTATTTTGTGAAATTTGACAAAAGTTGACTCAAAGCGTTAAAGGTCAAAGGGTTAAAGGTCAAAAGGTTCACCAAACCAATCAAATAAGCTGGAAGCACTTCCATGGTAGGATATTGGATAAGGATATTGTCATAAGAAGACATATGCTTTACATGCCTTGCTATTGACGTTGTGCACAAACGGTTATTGAGACTGAAACCCTCAGATAGTTCTACATTGTCTTCCACCATTGTGTCCACTTCTCCAAATACCATGGTTACGTAGAACAATGCACATGATGATGAGGAGGGAAACACTGTTTAAGCAGTTAACATCCAAATCAGGGCAGCCATTTGTGTCAAAGTTCTATTGAAGGTATACTTTTGTTTGCTGAGTCTCAAATTTTTAAATTTGGATTTATCAATTGATTATTTTAATTTTATTTTTGTTTTTCTAGATATTGGTCTTCTTTGTAAGTGAAGAGATTGGAGGTGTACCAGGGATGCAGGGATTATTTGTAGCTTGTATCTTCGCCGGAACACTAAGGTATTTCTGTCTCTGTAGTCTGTTTGTTTGCCCGACAGACTAAATACTGTGAATTCCTGACCCAAAGATACCAGTAAACAATTTCAGTGTAGCAATATGATATTATTTACATTATTGACTTGCAGAGAATAGGGGTCATAAAATGTGGTATTTATTTGTAACTGAGGAGGGATAAATTAGTTTTTTTATTCCAAATGTCAGACACATAACAAAACTGATATCTTTCCAGCACTGAGGCCTCTGGTTTGAACGCCATGGCAACTGTCACATTTGTAGACATCATCAAGCCATGGAGAGAATATCGTCGCCATAGTAATCATTCTATCAATACTGCCAGTATGGATGCCAGGGATACAAAAATAACTAAAATTTTAAGTAGGTTATTTTTTGATATTTTTATGAGGGCACTGTTTTCACTTGTCTTTGTCCTCTACTAGAGGGCAGTATAACTATTTATCGTTGTCCTCACTGGAGGGCAGTATACTCACTGATTTTTGTCACTAGAGGGAAGTAACCTTGGGGGTGGAGCTACGTCAAAAGACGTTCCATGTTGTTCAAAATCAACATCGGCCTCGTGTGTTTTTGTTTTAACCTTCTTCGATTGACATTCTGTTAATTTTAACAAACGAACCAGATTGAAATAAGTCGTACATCAAGATAATGGAAGGGAAGACAATGATAAATAAATAAACAGGAGGAAGGTTTATAATTGCAGTTTAGTTCTGCGTAGGATTTGTTGAATTGAACAATAACTTGCTCACGTCAACGGCAGGGAGGATATGCGTCAAGCTGTCGCTTGTTTAATTTACACTTGTACTCAAGTATAGTAAGATTCATTAATGTTTTTGGCTTCTTGACTCGTTCATAAAATTAAATTCATAATCTATATTTAGTCAGCGATACAAAGAATACTTATTTCTCACTAACAACGTGATTTACCAGCAGCATTCCATTAGAAAAGAAAACAGATTAAGTTCTTGTTTCCACTTTAGGTGTAACAAATGAGCGGCATGCTTTGAAAAAAAATGGCTGCCAGGTCAGAGGTCAACATCTCAAAATACGTATTTTAGATGTGATTATAAAAATAAAGTGTACATATATTTTCACTTTTATCAAAGTAGATTAATTTTACATTGAATTATTTAAAATAAAAGTTATATTACCGTAATTAAAGTAGTTAAATTGTAAACTAGTTGGATGGCAAAATAAATATTCATTAACTCATGAATATTAATGAGCTCATGAATATTGATTAGCGGCCTGCACTCAGTATTGTCACTTATCTTTGTCTTCCACTAAAGGGCAGTACAGTCACTTACCGTGGTCCTCCACTAGAGGGCTCAGTATTCAGTTACTTGATTGAAGTGAACGTTGTTAATGTGCAGTTGTTAATGCATGTGCAGTTTCACAAATGTTTTACCTGGATAAGTCAGCTGTATTGGAACCTCACTAAATGTATCACATTAGAGTAATTTCTCATGATGTCACATGTAGCTTAAAGCGAGAGGGTCATCATCTGCGCATGTGCGGGAATTGAGTCCCAATCGACGATAACAACACGCGCTAATAATGCAAAGACACTTGTTTGTAAACAATGACACGATATTGCAATCTAACGCATGCGCAGGTGACGACTCCCCTGCTTTAAGCATACACTGAACACTAATATTTATTTATTTGTTTCGTTAGCATTTGTATTTGGTGTAACGAGTATAGGATTGGCATTTGTGGCAGCACATATCGGATCCCTGGTAAAAAGTGTCAACTCAGTGTTCGGTACAGCAGGCGGCCCACTATTGGGAATATTCACGCTTGGTATTTTGTTCAAAAGAGCCAACTCAGGGTAAGATGCAAATTACTATACATACTTTTAAAACATCAAAGTAAGTTTTGATTTAAAAGCTGAAATAGATTCTTTCTGTGAATTGAAATGTACATTGTTTGGATCTTGTACAGTGCAAAAAAAAAAAAAAAAATAGTTTAATCTTCTGTACTTTATTTTTCAGTGGCGTCTTAATTGGTTTATTAGCTGGTTTCTCATTGGCTGTGTGGATAGCTGTTGGTGCAATGGTTTATAAAGATCCTGTTACTGGTGATGTGTTACCCGACGCATTTGTCTTGTATAGGGTAAGTAATGGTTTACAAAATAGTCCCTGTCATTTCCTTTGTGAGCGCCCTCTATGGTCATTGCTGAGGGCAAGGTGTAAAATGTAATCAGCTATTTTATTTGACCGTATGCAATTTCCAATTCTGATTCTTAAACTCAAATTAACAAATATATTATAAACATCTAAACTGTAATTAGGAATTTGCTTTATCTGTAAAGTGTAAAAACATATTTTTTACTGTAAATGCAACTTTCATATTATTTCCTGTAAAAACGTAAAATGCTTTTGTTATTTCCTGTAATTTGTACATATACCAGCTAAACAACAAACGTGTCTATACCACTGCAGTTCTCTACTCCACGTAACTTGTTTAATGCTAACAATCTCAAGTCATTCTCTCAGTTCCAGTGTGCCTCCTAAACTGATATGACATACCTCTGGCATCAAAATATTTGCTGTGTCACAACTAGTTATGCTTATTCAAGGGCACATCATTGATGTAGCAGAAAATTTTATTTTGATATAGTGATATAATGGAATTTGTAATTTGGTAAAATTAAATTCACATTTCACAAACAAAATAAATGTATAAACGAAGGAAATCATTTTTGTTTGTATTTCAAATATCTTGAAGACTAACCTCTCCAGCAGTCAACATGTTGACTCAACTTGAATTTAGGGATTCCATTTTGACTTTACTTACCTACAAATTTAGCCCTGTTTGAGGGCACACTACTCAGTTCACAAATGTGTCGTGTCATCCTTATGTCATTTTTTTCAAGACTTAACCTTTTCACCGCCAGACTTTTTAGCCTCAAAATTTTTTTAAAACTTTTTTTTCTTATATTCTTCAATATTTCTAGAAATAAACCCTAATTTTGGAGCCAACAGACAAAATTTGAGTCAATTTTCAGTTTTTACTCAAAAATGTTGGCTATTTTTGTTTAAATCCGACTACTAGTATAAGCAAGATTTTGTGAATTTGTGATGAAAAGAAGGAACTAGTGGTAAATAGGTTATAAACTCATCTCATACTTAGGTAACTTGTTTCATGATTCTAGCAACAAAACTTTCATTACATCCACTGTCTACAAAAATCAGTAGGAAAACCAGACTCACAATCCAATTCTATTTTCCCAAGTCTCTATTTTCGCTTTTCTCAGCAATTACTATAACATCGATAGATACAGTATAATTGCATCTATTCATCTGATACCACTACACTTTTTTATGAATCCAATGCTTGCTTATGTTACAATAAATCAAGTTTCTCTCGACTGATAAAAAAAACACCACATGGCCATTTACCACTCTTAACTGATGCATTCCTACTGACCATGACTTTTATCTTACCTCGATTCACCCTCAGCTTATTTTGTATCAAAGCTAGACTCCCATACTTAAGCTTCCAACCTAAAGTTTCTTCAAAATTAATCCACTGTATTAAATCTACTTATTAAAACAAGAAAAATTACAATAGAACTTATTATTTTACTTGTAATTTGTGACTTTGCTCGATATCAATTATTATACACCTGTCACCTTAACGCCATAGGTTACAGCGTGCCGTAATTTTGCGGTATTGCTCTGCGTATTTTCATCCTACCATATGCGGAAATGCGAATTCCAAATATGGAATGATTATGTGCGTAAGCGTCCTCTAATAATAATAATAATAATAATAATAATAATAATAATAATAATAATAATAATAAAACATGGCTGCCCCACTGTTTGACCAGACCCCACACAAAGAAGTAATAAATAAATCTGTTTTAAACGGATTTCGGCATTCCCGTGATGTATTTCTGGGAGGAAAAGATGTATAATAATAAGGTTATTACGAG